TTTGTTCTCTTGTGTGTGACCAAACTTTCTTCCCCTAATTTGGACCCCAATTTTAAATAAAAACAGCAAAATTATCCATTATTATTCACTCACAGTGGTGAATTAAAATGGTAAGTGATAAACAAAATCAAACAGCCAAAACATATTTGTAAAGATGAAATACAATGTTAGTGAAAATCATCCTACTCTTGAAAGAATAGGGGCAATTTGGGGATATTCAAGGGTTTCTCAGAACACTAGTTAATGAAATGTTGGGGATATTATGGGGTGCTCAGGGGGTTATCAGAATGCCTGGTGAATTTTAAGTTGCCAGTGTGGCACGTTTTTGAGTTCAGCAAAATGATGTTCACTATAAAAACTGAAAGAAATAATATAATTTGACAGAAACAAGTGTTATTCTCTATTAAACTTTATACATTTATGAATATATAATTTAGTAATCTTTTGATTGTATTCAGAGAGCTCCATATTCAAATGAATTTCAAAGATAACCAGTTTCTGTTCTCTTGTACGTGTAACCAAACTTTCTTCTAATTTGGGCCCCAATTTTAAATAAAGACAGCAAAATTATCCATTATTATTCACTCACAGTGGTGAATCAAAATGGTAAGTAATAAACAAAATCAAACAGCCAAAACATATTTGCAAAGATAGAATACAACATTAGTGCAGATCATCCTACTCTTGAAAGAAAAGGGACAATTTGGGGATATTCAAGGGTTTCTCAGAACATTAGTGTATGATTGAAATGTTGGGGATATTAGGGGGTGCCCAGGGGGTTATCAGAATGCCTGGTGAATTTGAAGTTGCCAGTGTGGCATGTTGTTGAGTTCAGTAAAATAGCACATTGGATCTGAAAGAAATATAACACTTGTTTCTGGAGTGCACAGTTATGTTAAACAAAAATTCTATGATTAGTAATGATAATGATACATCCTTTGATTACAAAGTCGTCAGTAAAGATCGAGTTGATATCCTATATTCTATAATGAAATTGAACAATTACAATTTGTTATTTTGCACCACTCTAAATTAAACTTAAACTGAAACCATTACCATTATAAATTCATTGAGTGCTGAAGTTATGACTTAAAGTATGTTAAAGATATTACTGAAGGTAATTAGTTAAGATGTAACAAAACACAACTAATTCTAGTTGAAGAAATTAGTCATTTCACCACAAAGATGTTTGTTAAGATCTTATCCTAAAGATTGTATATTGATTATGACTATGATACTGATGATTATCTAAGAAGAATGATATTGTGTAAGAATTATGTATATAGATTATGACTATAATACTTATACTTATTTAAGAAGAGTGATATTGTTGGTTAACACAGTTCTTCTGTTAACAGTTGTATATATGAGATGGAAGAAAATATATTCAAAATTGTACACCAGTGATCTCATGAACATCCTGCCTTCAAGTTCTACATTTTCCCATCCATGTTCAGCCATTTCAGTTTCATTCTTCGTTACCATCTTAATAAGTGTTGCAATTCTTTTGAGTAATCATTCGGATGTGGGTGTCCCTTTTACATATGGGTGTCTCTTTCTCACATAGCCTGACTATATCACCTTCTAGCAGCCCTTCCATTGGTCAGACTCCTTAAGCCTGATACCCAACACCTCTAACTCAGGACAATTGGGAACATTTTTCTCGTAATCCTCTTGATTTACATATATGATTATCTAAGAAGAATGATATTGTTGGTTAACACAGGTCTTCTGTTAACAGTAGCTGTATACATGAGATGGAAGAAAATACGTTCAAAATTATACATCAGTGATCTCATTAACATCCTGCCTTCTACATTTTTCCACCCGTGTTCAGTCATTTCAGTTTCTTTCTTTGTTGCCCTCTTAAAATGATTGTTTCAATTAGTTTGTGTAACCATATTCGGATATGGTTGTCTCTCTCTCACATAGCCTGGCTACATCACGCTTCTAGCAGCCCTTCCATTGGTCATGCCTTAAAGCTTGATGGCCAACACCTCTAACTGATCATGAGAAGAATTGGGAACATCTTGCTCGTAATCCTCTTGATTTACATATATGATTATCTAAGAATAATGATATTGTTGGTTAACACAGGTCTTTTGGTAACAGTTGTACACATGAGATGGAAGAATATATTTAAAATTGTACATCAGTGATCTCATGAACATCCTGCCTTCTACATTTTCCCATCCATGTTCAGCCATTTCAGTTTCTTTGTTACCATCTTAATCATAATTGTTGCGAGTCTTTTGGGCAGTCATATTCGGATATGGGTGTCACATAGCCTGACTACATGACGCTTCGAGCAGTCCCTCCATTGGTCAGGCGACTAAGGCCCCTTAAAGCTTGACGGGCCAACACCTCTAAGATTCTAACTCAGGACAATTGGGAACATCTTGTTCGTAATCCTCTTGATTTATGCATATGTGCTAACATGGACCAATTATTTTTAAGACTTAGAACTGACCTATATCATGGTGTTGGAGGCTGTGTTGACTGGTTTCCATAGTGACAGAGAATTCTGAGCTCCTATTGGACTGATTTTTATAATGACAAAGAATCCTGAGCTCCTATTGAACCGTGTTTCACAATGATAAAGAATCCTGAGTTCCTATTGGAGTGATTTTCATAATGATAAAGAATCCTGAGCTCCTATTGGACTGTGTTTCACGATGGTAAAGAATCCTGAGCTCCTATTGGACTGATTTTCATGATGGTAAAGAATCCTGTGCTTCTATTGGTAGTTCTGGGAGTACGAATTGTTTTCTTTAGTTAGAGGTTCTCTTGAGTTAGAGGTGTTTGGCCACAAGCTCTCGGGGAGGAGGCACAATCAGCCCCTGACAGCGAGAGATTGTGTAACACAGGTTATTTCTATTCTTCTGGGACTGAAGACTACACAGTCGTTTTCCGTCGCCATTCTCTATTGTCATTTTCATTGTCATCATCATTTATATCACTATCTTAAGCTTCACTTTCACATGGCATATTTGAAGGACTCTCGACCAGTTTCAAGTTACTGATTATGGGTTCACCACACCACGAAGTGGTGTGGTGAAACCATATTGCTTTTTCTGGTGTTTCTTCTTCTTCTCCTTCTTCTTCTCCTGCCATTTTTTAAATGGATTCAGCTTCTTCATTTTAGGGCCCAAGGTCCTGAAATTTGGTATGGAGGTACAGTGGGCAAATACCCCTAGGCGTTTTTTGAATTATTGTGATACAGGCTTTTAGAATGGTTTTATTTGAGTTTTTTGGCTGTGTTATAGCAAATGTATTACTGTGTTAGTGTGCCTTGTTTACCACGTTTGGGCATGAGTCATCACAATGGAATGCAGGGCATCAACCAATAAGCATGCAGGTTTCCTCTATACTTCTTGCTGATTGGCTGTTGGGATTTAACTTGATTAACACCTGCACAGAAGCATTTCCATACTGACAGTATGTCTGTATTCAAGTGTTTTGGTAGGTATTTCAAGCTTTCCTGCTCCAGCATTGGAATGCCGGGCATGGACGTTTTTTTTTTATTTTGAAAATCAACAGTTTGCATTATGCAATTAAAAATCCTAACCAATAAAGTAGGGAATAGCTATCCAACTGTTGTTTTAGTTGTATTTTACTTCATATTATAGTTATATCAATGTAAATCATTGTTTTCCCTTGTGTTTCCCATTCTTTCCCTGCCATGTCGTAAAATGTGGTGAACCCATCGCTGTATTTGCTCCAAAGCAAATATTGGCCTTTCTAGTTCATGACTATTTTTACTTGATAAGTCAGAACTAAAACCACATGTCCCTACAGTTTTGAGCAGGCACCTCTAAACCTACATGTACCTACAGTTTTGGGCAGTCACCTCTAAACCTATACATGTACTTACAGTTTTGGGCAGGCACCTCTAAACCTACATGTACCTACAGTTTTTGGAAGGCAACTCTAAACCTACATGTATCTACAGTTTTGCGCTGGCACCTCTAAACCTACATGTACCTACAGTTTTGGGCTGGCACCTCTAAACCTACATGTACCTACAGTTTTGGGCTGGCACCTTTAAACCTAGATGTACCTACATTTGTGGGAAGGCATCTCTAAACCTACATGTACCTACAGTTTTGGGCTGGCACCTACAAACCTACATGTACCTACAGTTTTGGAATGGCACCTCTAAACCTACATGTACCTACAGTTCTGAACTGGCACCTCTAAACTAATATGTGCCTACAGGTTTAGGCAGGCACCTCTAGACCTACATGTACCTACGGTTTGGGGCAGGCACCTACAAACCTACATGTACCTACAGTTTTGGAATGGCACCTCTAAACCTGCATATACCTACAGTTTTGGGAAAGCATCTCTAAACGTACATGTACCTACAGTTTTGGGCTGGCACCTCTAAACCTACACGTACCTATAGTTTTGGGATTGCACCTCTAAACCTTCATGTACCTTCAGTTTTCAGCAGACACATCTTACCATACAGGTACCTATAGTTTTGGGAAGGCACCTATAAACCTACATGTACCTACAGTTTTGGGCTGGCACCTCTAAACCTACATGTACCTACAGTTTTGGGAAGGCACCTCTCTAGATCTAAACCTATATGTACCTACAGTCTTGGGAAGGCACCTCTAAACCTACATGTACCTACAGTTTTGGGCTGGCACCTCTAAACCTACATGTACCTACAGTTTTGGGAAGCACCTCTAAAGCTACATGTACCTACAGGTTTGGGAAGGCACCTCTAAACCTACATGTACCAACAGTTTTGGTCATGCTCCTCTAAACCTACATGTACCTACAGGTTTGGGCTGGCACCTCTAAACCTACATGTACCTACAGTTTTGGGCAGGCTCTAACCACTAACACGATTGTGGCACATTTTAAATCCCATGACACTTGTTTATAAAATTAAAGCTTGGGGTACCTGTTTGAGAGCATGTGGCACCTGTACTAAAGCTTATGGCACCTGTTACAAAGCTTGTGACACAAGGTTTTAAGATGTGTCTTTACGAACACCAATTCGTAAATGCGCGGAGACATGTGGTCCAACGCGTGCTGCGATCCGGACACTCCTTGCGAAACCTCTTGCGGCACCTACTGCAAGACTTACTACGACAAGAAGCCCTTCTCCAAAACTTTTTAGCGACGCACTTCTTCCAAAAGGTGCTGCAAGTTGCTAAAAGTTTGGGGGTAGACGTTGGTGCAGGTTGGGGGGTAGAGGTTGGTGCAGGTTGGGGGGTAGAGGTTGGTGCAGGTTGGGGGGTAGAGGTTGGTGCAGGTTGGGGGGTAGAAGCTGGTGCAGTGGAGGGAGCTGGTGTGGTCTCATCACAAATCATATCTTCAGGATTTACATCATTAAGCAAGCTTTGCCCTGTAAGGTTAGCGGGTCCGGCACAGGTGATCTGACTTTCAAAATCATGAGACCCATTCATCAATAACTTAAAAGGAAGCATCTTGCAGTCACACTGATAGGGGTTATCCGCAATTCTAACATTTTCTGAAACGGAGGCCAGTACTGGAAATGTGTCAGCAGAAAGACTAGTCAGCTGATTATCGTAAAGATACAAGTACTGCAGATTGCCAAGTCCCTCAAATATGCCAGCTGGAAGGCTAGTCAGCTGATTGTCATTAAGGAGCAAGTACTGCAGATTACCAAGTCCCTCAAATATGCCAACAGAGAGGCCAGTCAGCTGATTACTGTTAAGAGACAACCTCTGCAGATTACCAAGTCCCTCAAATATGCCAGCTGGAAGGCTAGTCAGCTGATTGTCATTAAGGAGCAAGTACTGCAGATTACCAAGTCCCTCAAATATGCCAACAGAGAGGCCAGTCAGCTGATTACTGTTAAGATACAACCTCTGCAGATTACCAAGTCCCTCAAATATGCCAGCTGGAAGGCTAGTCAGCTGATTGTCATTAAGGAACAAGTACTGCAGATTACCAAGTCCCTCAAATATGCCAACAGAGAGGCCAGTCAGCTGGTTACTGTTAAGAGACAACCTCAGCAGATTACCAAGGCCTTCAAATGTGCCAACAGAGATGCTAGTCAGCTGATTATCGTAAAGATACAACTGCTGCAGATTCCCAAGTCCCCCAAATATGCCAGCTGGAAGGCTAGTCAGTTGATTACCTCTAAGACCCAAGAAATGCAGATTACCAAGTCCCTCAAATATGCCAGCTGGAAGGCTAGTCAGTTGATTAAACTGAAGAGACAACTGCTGCAGATTTCCAAGGCCCTCAAATATGGCAGCTGGAAGGCTACTCAGTTGATTATTGCCAAGAGCCAACCCCCACAGATTACCAAGTCCCTCAAATATGCCAGCTGGAAGGCTAGTTACCTGATTATTGTCAAGATACAAGGCCAACAGATTACCAAGTCCCTCAAATGTGCTAGCTGTTAAATTAGTCAATTGATTATAACGGAGATACAGTTGAGTTAGATTGGTCAGGGTAAGAAATGTCCCATTATTGATTATGGAGATCTGATTGGAGTAAAGGTATAATACCTCCAGGCTTGTATACCTTGAGAAATCAGACTGACTTAAAGTTGTGATTTCGTTGCCGGCCAGGTTCAGGGTAGTGATGGTTGTCGGCAGGTCCTGTGGAACACTGGTGAGGTCTCTCCAGTTGCAGGAACAGAATGATGAACAGCTGCTGCTGCAGGCTGCGGTCGGGTCAGCTTCCTTCAGGACGATCAGCAGCAGAACGAGCAACCTTTTCACTTGCATGTTGTATCCCTGAAGGATGTTTTTCTCCACTGCTCAACTGAAGACGCGTTTTTTATCAAACAACACCAAACAACCCCTTGTTTTGAAAGAAGTTAAGAACATTTTTCTCTGATATTATATTGGTAAACTGTCGATTTTACACCTAGGTGTAGTAGATATTTTATCCAACAAATGTTTCCACTTTAATACCACGACATTTTCATGCATAACAAAGAAAAAAGCTGGTTTAAGTATATGAGGTATAACCGTTAGAAAACATTGCAAAGACTCACCGCAGCTTGTGAGCTTGGCTGATCACTCTTAGACTTCTCCAAATGTCGGATGTACGTCTTCTGGTGGTGAGGTCTGGGTGAATTCCAATGTCAGATTTTTTTTTTAATTTGCCCGTCGCTGTCTATGTGCATTGTCACCTGAACAGGTAATGTAACGAAAAGCAGACATTAGCGTCATACAAATTATAACGTCAAAGCCGCAATCGCTGTTGAAATCTACGCGTTCAATTTTCTAGGGAAAAAAATCTGATAGATGAATTAAAAGTGATTTAAATTGTTTCACCCTCCGTCACTACATACATAATTGCAAATTAAGCAAATGAAGGGTACATTTGCATAATTAAGTAAAAAATTCTGCAATTACAGTGTTTTACATGATAGTACTTTCATACATCATATTAGCTACCTATACACTAAAATCATGACGATCCGTCAACCGGTTCTTGAGTTTTGAATATTATTGAACGTCTATGCAGTTCCAGAGCAAGCGTAACTTCTTCCCCAACACAGAGCTACTTATCATTCGAATTTCGCAAGCATGTCTAGGTCATGAGATATCAAAACCGGAGGTTCAGCTGCAGTAACATAAGAAGACGCTAGGGGTCCCAAACTCTAATAATTTCCAGGTCTCGTCAAGACCTACCCACCTACCAAATATAAAGCCAATCCATTTAAGCCTTCTCAAGTTATCTAATCTATACCTCGGCTAATGCTGTACAGAGGTCCCGAAAATTAAGGAAACACACGACGACTGCCATGATTGCATGAAAGGGCATGCGCAGGGGTCGAAATAGATTTTGGGGCCTACTTGCACTGGTGCAGATGAAAAAAAATAGTTGCACCAGAAGAAAAATAGTCGCACCCCCCACAAATAATAGGTACACAACCAAAAGTACATGTAGTAACTTTAATAGCATCCAATATTTGCCTACACTACTAACGTACTAAAGCGACGTAGATAGTAACCTTCTATTAATTACAAAGAAATGAAAAAAAAATTATTCTATTTTATTTTATCTTATTTTATTCTATTTTTGCTTTTTTTTATTTTATCCTATTTTATTTTATTCTATCCAATTTTATCCATTCTATACATTATCAAACTTGTCCCCTAGTCCTACGGCTACTAAAACCTCAGACCGAATATATTAATACATCACATCGCAGGATTTTGAATTCGCCCTCTAGCTCTCTCTAGCGGTTCGGGCCAAATTGCAGCTCTCGCGCGAACTCTCGCGAGGTTTGAGCAGAAAAACAAGATGGCCGCCACTAGGCTTTAACACTCTGCTCAGCGGTAATTTGTCGGTTTCCTTGTTTTTTCCTTGGTATTTTACGCGATTCAGCAAAAAAAAAACAAGTTGATCACAAGAACAAAAGAGCAATACAGCACTGGAAACCTAATGGTCCGTTTTGTTGGGCGGTAATTTCTCATTTCGAGTAAAAATTTACGTGCATCACAGTGTAACTACTGGTGTAAAAATCAGTGATTTTCGGCTCGATCCTAACCAAACACGGCCTGTAAACGTGTCCTTCATGATTTCTAGATCAGACTATAGGTACCTAAAATATGGGAAAATATCGTTGCAAAATCTGAGAGAGACGGAAACTAAGGTAAAGTTCTTTTATTTTAAGGCTGGATTTTCATTTTCCTGGCAGGTTCCTGGTTCCCTTTCCAGTTCTTTATTGGACTTGATTCGCCCCATGTCACTTTCGCCCCGTCTATTTTACCAGATCGCCCCATGTTTTAGTGACCTGAGTGCTATGTTTTATCTAGGTGACATACACGCATTTTGGTAACATTTATATTCTTTAGATGTTACCAAAGCCTTGTGACTATATTTTTAATTTTTCTTCTCCGTTCGGCAAGTATTTGACACCGATGAAAAGTCCGACTGCGCGGCGCACCCGGAGTTTTCATCAGGTATTCGGTGGTAAACAAAGAAGAAAAATTCAAAATATAGTCACAAGGCTTTGGTAATTATCTAAAGAATATTTAGAAGTAGGATTCATGCGTAAATCCCCTGAATAAAACATAGCACTGTTCACTTAAACATGGGGCGATCTGGTAGTAAATAGACGGGGCGAAAGTGACATGGGGAGAATGATCTAGAAACCGTTCTACAGGTTGTAACAGCAGATAAAGCAAACTTGCACCGCCGTGCATACCGGCAAAAAATAGTTGCACGACACCAAATTTACTTGCACCAAGTTGCACACAGAGGGGTATTTCGACCACTGAAGAGTAGAAAGACTCACCACAGCTTAGATTGTTGATAATGCGAAGTAAGTGCTGAGGCCACTGTGCTGAGGCCGTCTGTTTTTTGGTGTTCAGTTGGGCAAAATAGGCTTCACTCGAGTCAAATCCGTCAACTGCGTGCTCTGGTCGGTGTTCTCTGTAGTTGTGCGCGTGGCCAGAGTGGTGGGACCAGTTTCCAAGGACGTGTTCGTCTTATTATTAACTGACAGTGCACAGCTAGGTATTTTACGTTACGGTAAAACAAAGAAGGTTGAGGTCTTTTACCCCACTTGCGACGAATCTTTAGTCATACACCGTCTATCTTTTCCTGAATGAGCGAGTCCTTGCCCTCAGCCGCTATTACTCGCCCCCCTCCCCAACCTTCACCCGATGGGGTCATATGGAGACATGTTGGGCCCAACTCGCCGGGTTTAATTTGGTTGATTTAATGAGGGCAGAATCTTTTGTCATCCTGCGCGGGTCTGTCTTCTGTGATCTTTGAATGGGACAAATTCTAAATGCCAAGGACAACTAGCTCTACGTACGTTCTGTTGACATCTGAGCCTACAACTCTTTATTTAAAAAGCTAATAACAAGAAGAATCAAGAGTGATCTGTATTGTTTCAAACTCCAGAGTAAACTGGTACTGTCCTGAAAGAAAAAGATTTAAAATCTTCTGTTGGTCCCTTCCTTTTTTTATTCTTCATACAGCGTCGAGGTAATAACAATTAACGTTCCTTCTCTCGTGGTTTTCTCCCTTTTGCTTGTTCGTATCTTTTACATTTAGCTGCTTGGGCTCTAACCATTTCAGGTATAGGGGAATGAACTTCAACATACAACAATATTCATCCGGAAAGAAAAAGGGGGAAAACGCCAGTCTGGTACCGTCTTCTGAATAATGCAACAGCACCGGCAGACATGCTAGACCTCCTTAAAATTAACCAAACGTTCGTTTGTGACGTTTATTATATAATAATCAATTAACCCAATTAACAAATTAGTTCCAATATGTCAGTTCTTATCTACTCCTTAGTCTAATTGGCCGACCGTTAGACCACCACAGACGAACATACAACCGGCACTCGGATTCCTCCACCCTTCTCGGTTTTTCTGTTCTTAACGTTTCACGTATAGTGTCATGCCTGTCCATTCTCTGGTGTTATCCTCCCACCTTTTTATGTACTGGAGGATGCCAGGACGACCATGCAACAACCCAGTCTGGCCCAAGAGGACCTGAAGACGATTGCCCACGACCGCCAAGTATGGCGCAGGACGCTGTGCAGACGGAGGGACGACTTTGACGCAGGCCACTCACAGAGATGAGGAGACCTACTCAAGTAAGTAAGTAAGTAGTTATTTGTGTAGGCCTTTTATGTCCTCCCTGTGCTGTTCTTTGCATGATGTAGTTTTGGCTATTTATGATGACCGTTTCACGTGACCATACCAAGCATTTCATAAACTATTACATAGTGTGATTAGGACGTCTTCGACTAGGATCTTTTGCTTTGTTTGACTCTGTTTCTCTCTTTGTCATTCGAGACATCTGTATGTGATCTCTAGATCTTCGGAGGCACTCTTTTCTGTGATCTGTATTATTTTCTTCTTGAAGCTTGGCTGTTAGCGTCCAGATTTCGCTAGCATGGGGGTGAGTTTGATATTCTTGTATTTCCAAAGAGGCCCGAGTCTTGTCTGTTGCTGTGTTATTCTATAGCTAAAAAGGATCTCTCGTTGTGATCCCTCGAGTGTCATAATCACCCCTTGGTGTTTGCATTGGTTTCCAGTTTTCAGTTTTCAGTAGGATATTTGTTACTTCGCTATTATTCAGTTCCAAGTTTAGATAATGATAATTTTCTAGTTTACTTAGCCTACTTAGATTTCTTTTGTCGTGCGTTTCAGATAATTACTTTTTTATTTCATTCCTTTGAACTGTATACTTATCTTCTGGGCTTAAAATATTTCTTGATATTACACATCGCATCGGTTCCCTTCGAAACACGCGTTTCTCTCCGTTGTCATGGCAACATTCTAGAACTTCACCTCCCCAAACAACTTCGCGTACACTCCTCCCAGAACGGCCGAGACGACAGAACACGTTGCCGTGGCAACCAGACAGGTCAGCTCGTAGCCGCTGTCTCCGGTCTGCAGAACGTACCAGTACGTTGCCATGCCGACGTTTCCGGCCAGGGTCAGAGCCAGGTTGACCCCCAGGGCGGAGGTCGTTGCCATGGAGAAGTTGACGCTGAAGGTCTCGACGGTGGCGAGGATCCCGCCGAGCAGAACGCCGACGCACTCGTGAAGATCCGGAACCACGATCAGCATCATGGCCTGCATGGAATGGGTTATAACAAGTTTTTATTGCAAGTTCATGCCCGATGGCTAATTGCATGAACAGAAGAAACATTTGGTATAAAAACAGACAATATATTAGTACACAGGGAACTATTAACTACTAAGAAACAACTAGTAAAAACTACTGGGTTTGACTTCTTTTTTGAAGACAGAGGAAGACAAAGGATCCCACTTTAAAGTTAAAGTCCTTGTTGTATCCAGAACCGTGCTCAGGGTTTTAGGATTAAGCTTTTAGACCCGGGTTCAAATCCGAGCTTGTGCTCTTTTTTTTTTTAAATAATATCTTTACTATTTTTTACGATGTTGTCGTGCATTTACAATTTAAATGGTGCTTTTTAAACGTTCCAAACGTTTTTACGCCGTAAAAAGTTACTGGTATGTTAATACGCTAGGCGAACATGATATCGACGGCCGGTCAGCGATATGACATCTACCGTTTCAAACGGCAACGACCGTTTACGAGACGGAAACACGCCACTCTTCTAGTCTGAGTGTCAGCCTTTTAGCTAATTTTAGCTAATTAGCTTTTTAAACTAAAAAAGCTGACACTCAGGCTACCGCTCTACTGACCTAGCCTCTACCAGGCTTCGGGAGGCGGCTGGAAAGAGTAGAAATCGGCTAATAGATAGATATTAAACATGCAAGGGGAGTTTGTCTGCTGGGAGAGAGAACAGTGCGGCAAAATGTTCTCTCCCAGCAGACAAACTCCCCTGGCATGTTATCTCTCTATTTGGCCGATTTCTACTCTTTCCATCCGCCTCCCGAAGCCTGCTAGAGGCTACTACTGACCAGCATGACGAGCCAGTGTATCCCCAGGGGCAGGGCGAACCACAGCCTGACGGCAGAGGCGCACAGCCCGACCGCTAGCACGCGTGACGCCAGCTCCAGCACCTTCCACACCGCGAACAGGGTCAGTCTGGGCACGACCTGCAGGTGAAGGCATTTTTTTTAAATTCAGATGTAATCACCAGACGTGGTGACGGCACACTCAAGTTTTTTTCAACTTATATTAATGCCGACACTAACACAGGGGGCAATACTTATTTTCACCTGAGCGAAGTGAGGAAAGTCGTGTAAAGTGCGTGCCTTTCCCAAGGGCACACGATCGGTGGCATGTCAGGACTCGAACCCGGGACGTCTTGATTCCGAGTCGAGCACTCTGCCGCTACGCCACACGACCCCAGGTGAAGGCATTATGCTTTAATAGGGCACATTTTCTACCCCAGGGCCCAACCGGGCAGTTTCCGGCAATGAAAAGTATGATACAAACGACAAGAAACACAAAAAGTTGACGAAAACTATCCATGAGTACTACTAGTACAATGTAGTTGTATATATTGATGATATGAATTGTTTGAATCTTTGATATTCGTTCACGCAAACAGCCCGACTGGGCGTCGGTTTGGAAATGTACCCTAAGCATTAGACATCCTGATAGGCAATTCAAAGTCTGCTACTGGAAGTAAAAAAAAATGACACACGCAGATTTCTTCTTGATATTTCAAGTAATATACATGTACATCATTCTTCTTCAGCATCACCTTTGAGTGATACAGTTTTAAAAGAGTCGCACTTTTTTCGTTGAGCCCACACCTGTTCCTAACCTTAATTTATAACCATAACCAGGCATATAACTAGGCATGGTTCTGGATATAACACATGCAGGCACTCAGATGTAGACCTTTTTGATTGGCTGTTCTGTTGACGTTCCCTCCTCCCCGTCGTTTTTCAGCCCCAAGCAGATGTAGTGGAACACCACCACGGCCCGCAGCGCCCCCAGGAGACTGACGACCATAACTGCAGCCCTGAGGCCGCTCATGTCGCCCGACAGGAATGAGATGTACGCCTGCGCGTTGAAAGAAAAATATTCTATTGTTGATTCCGTGAAAAATGAAGGTATTGTTGTTGGTCTGTCATAAAAGGGACCGTGAACAACCGCTACACACAGAATTCCTTTCATGGCAAACTGCACTTTAAGCACTTCTCGCAAGAGGCACTGCCAGCGTTCGATCGCACCTGTCCCAAACTCCCTAAAACACGCCTCTAAGAACTGAACTTGGGTACACGACTTTAAGACGAAGAAAACGTGTGCACACGACTTTAATTATATAATAAGACGAAGGAAACTTGTGTGCACAAGTTAAAGACGAAGTTGAGCCCACCTGTGTGGGCGACTTTATATAAGACGAAGTTTTGAAGGAGAAAAGACGATATACACGCCTTTAAGACTAATTAAGACTACTTTAAGACGAACAAGACTATTTCTTCAGAGGGGTGAAGGAAGTCATGTACATCAGGCCCCATCACCCTTCATTCACCCTTCATCGACGGGGGCCGACATTGTCTACCAGATACCTTTGACCCAGTGTTGACGTCACACTTCAAAGAAGCCACGTTTCATTGGGTCAGTCTACTGAGGAAGACCAGAGTGACTGGTCGAAAGCTCTAGGTGAGAGAATTTTTTTGTGTTGGACCAAAAGTTTTAACTTTAACATGTAACTACCAACACAGATGAACTTTCATGATAGTACTTTAAGTCGAAGTTGACCCACCTGTGTGCAGAGTTGCGGCAGCGACTGGGACACGGCCGCCACCAGGTGCATCATGGGAGGGAACCACGTGACGTAATCCGCGCCTCTCGTTCCCAGGCCCCGCCAGACGCGGAGGAGGATGATGACGTAGTCGATGACGACACCCAGCTGCAGCAGGTGCAGCAGGTACACCGCCGCGCGACCCCGGGTCACGATGACGTCATCGAAGGACAGGAACACGGCGGCCAGGATCTGGAGCAGCACCGACGGCCCCACGACAAACCCCAGAGTCAGCCACGACCTGGCAAGAACTACAACTTCAGGACGACTTTGACCCATTGCTAGAGTTACGGGTTCACTGATTGGTCAGTGGAACATGAAGAAGGCTACAGCCAGCTAGCCCGTACTGCGTCTGAGCGAAACCGGGATTTTTGATGGTTTTCTTCATTTTTGGGTAAATTTTGCCCGGTGGTGTCGCAGACTAGTTATATTATTCCAACGCAACACTTGAAAACTATATAGAAGGGATGTCATTCTGAAACACGCGAATACGAAACGCTCTGCTGAACTATTAGTGTACAATAGATTATACCAGGGGTGCCAGAGAATACAGTGCAATTTTACAGAATACAGTGCAATTTTACGGAATACAGTGCAATTTTACGGAATACAGTGCAATTTTACGGAATACAGTGCAATTTTACGGAATACAGTGCAATTTTACAGAATACAATGCAAACGTATTAGTATACAGTGCAATTTTACGAAATACAGTGCAATCGTATTAGTACTAGTAAAATTGCACTGTATACTAATACGATTGCACTGTATTCCGTAAGATTGCACTGTATACTAGTAAAATTGCACTGTGTTGCGTAAAATTGCACTGTATAATCTGGCACCCCTAATTACGGGTTTCTTGCATGCAGGTTACGGAAACTCAATTTGATAGCAACGCTGGATTGACGTAATTTATCATATCATATTTAGCATTTAGCATTAGCAAGCCATGCATGTACTTTTTTTAATGATCAACTAAAGGGATAACCTGATAAAAAGTTAATAAACTAACACTAACCAGCCCAGGTGTCCCGTGTCGTGGTACCTGGCCACCAGAATCACCGACAGGATGACGTCAGCCAGGTAAAGCCCGAGAGGGACCATCACAGAAACCAAGATTTTCACTGCTCGATATTCCAACATTTGGCCGAAGACGTCAGCTATCCCTCCGCTGACGCTGTCAGGACTTGTGCTGTCCAGTTGCTGTTCCCCAAGGTCATTCGTTACGGTTATGACAGTCTGTGTGTCTCTGCTGCTCTGCGCTTCTTTGCTGTCCAGTATACCTGTGTCCCTCTGGATCGAGCTGTGCAGAACGCTGCTGTCCTGATGCGACCTTTTGTCAGCTGCTGTCGCGTCCTTCTGACACGTGAAGGACAACGTATTACTGTCCACCTTCTGCTGTTCGCTTCTGTCGCCGGCTGGTTTTAGAATCTTCGTATTGTTACTGTCTAGATTGTCGGCACTTTCCGCAACATTGCTGTCGACTTTTACGGTCACGTCTGTTAATTCGATACCCTGCTGCTTCATGCTGCTTTTTTAAAACCTTTTTTTGCAGTCTAGAATTGAAAGTCGCAACTTCTGAGTCGGATGTTGCGTTGCCTACCCGTACTGCTACGCTACGAGCAAGAAAATCCCACCTCAGATGTGGCAAAATTTTCTGGTGCGACACAGCGAAATTCGAATTCCTAGCGCATGTTTATGCTTCATGGGCTGCCTTATAAAACTGAAATATTCATGCACCGTTTTTATGATCAAGTCTCCATAGCACGAAACAGACAAGGGAAAATGCTATGCATATGTTTTGTTTTATTGTGTCGCTCCGCGAAAAAAGCTACCAAATAAAGGACATGTAACATTTATAGAGTTTGTTTCCTTGGTTAGGATTATGACACGCGTCAAGAATGACTTTTAATCGAGTAGTAACCATAGAAAAACCATGGCAACCATTTTTCTTGTCTTTCAGCAGCTAGATCGTACACAGGTCCGACATGGCCTGTGGGCTGAATTGCGACCCCTAGCATCATTCAAGAGAACTGCACCTAATGTTACTTTTGTAGCCTCATGGAGTCAAGCAATGCTGAGATAAAAGACTACGTGATTTTCAACATGGAACTTTCAATCGATCAATATAGTATATAGGCAATACAGAATGTATTGATCAATATCTTTATCTATATACTAGATGATTTCAAGAGAAAGACCAAAATAGGTGTGACATTACCAAAGAGTTACCAAATATGTAGGTGTTATCAAAGACATGATCCGATTTGTATGTTGGTATGGGAAGAAAATTGCATTCTGTACAACGTAATATCTTGTTCTTTTCTGATGTACAACCCTTTAAAAAATGATAAAACGGAACAAGCTGGAAAAGGTTACACTATTCCTAGCTATAGCCTCTACCAGGCTTCGGGAGACGGCTGGAAAGAGTAGAAATCGAGACAGATATTAAACATGCCGAGGGAGTTTGTCCGCTAGAGAGTACATTTTGTGCGGCAAAATTTCTACTCTTTCCAGCCATCTCCCGAAGCCTGGTACTACTAGTAAGTGGTAGAGGCTACACTTTTCCCTCCAAACATCTACTTGGAGATTTCATGAGCCGGACTCTCTTATGACTAACTGTGGCGTTACGCATTAGTGTTACATTTAAATACAAGTCACAGTGGCTGGAAAATTGTAGCCTCCGTAGCAGGCTGATAGAACTGGGGGTTTGGTGTCTTTGGACGGTCGTCGACTATTCAGTTATGATTATCCCAGTTCGGGAGTAATTCAACCAGGCTGGCTATGTTGTCTAACGTTATATGCAATCAGAAAATAGCACATAAAAGCTCCCAAAGACCATGCAGACCCCCAACCCCCAGTTTTTGGCATGCTACGGAGGCTAGGAAAATTGATAGTCTGGCGAACGTTATGCCATAACAATGGACCGGTTGTAAAATAACACCTTTTACTGCTATCGGTTACACAGTAACCACATCCTTGAAAGTGAAACGGCCGATGACCGAGTTTAACTTCAGAAAAAAAAAAAACAAGAACAGTATTTTTCTTTTCTTTTTTTACAAGGCAATTATAACGTTAAATCCTACATTTATAAAGTTATGGTAAACTGTTTAGTAGCTAAAATCTGAAAATATTTGCCTTGGTTTGGTGGCACCGCTTTGTTTAGTGTTTTTGAAACTTCCTAAAAATAACTCGAAGTAGCGTTGGCGTGATAATATCCTGTTGCCTTTTTTCAGTGACTTTCCTGTCCTCAGTGCAAAACTGTGTAATGTTATCGTGTTTGAAACGGTTAGTCACCTTGCAGACATGTTTCCTGTGCGTTCTTTAAAGGTTAAGCGTTTTGGTCCGGTTGACGTCCTGTATTTGTGCTCGCGACAAGGACAGGCATGACAAGAACACTCAAGGACTGACTCTCAGAGTAGGACATAGCCTTGGGCCAGTATAACGGTCAGCCCCCGTACTAAGGAATGTATAACCACCATTAATTATAACGTTTTAGGAATCCAGAATAAATATTTCCAGCGTCGGTATGCGGCTCCGCGTGTTGTGTTTGGAGGAAACACGTCCACCTTTGCAAACAGCGCTCGAGTGCGAGTTTGAAGCCATTGTGCGCTCGTCATTGAGAAGGAATGCTTTTAAACAATAACACTTCCTTAAAAGGGCAGGTGAATTGTAGACGGAGAGTTCGCCGGTCTACAGGGCTAGAATAGCGCGCTAGCTTCACTTTGCCATTTAGTTTCACAATGAAGCAGCCCTCTAAGCATTTACGGCGCTTTAAAAGCCCACAAGGTGGGCAAAAGGTGTGATTTTAAGGGCTCAATGTCGGGCTGTAAGCTGAACACTGTCGCCAAGAATTTCGAGGGTCTGCTCCATAGTTGTGCAGCCCGCGTTTTTGCGTTCCATCAGCCGCGCTCTGATTGGTTGAAGCACGAAAACGAGCTCGCTGATTGGGTCTTGTTGTGATACCGACCAATCAGAGAGCGCGTCTCTGCGGGGTCTCCGCGGTGCTATTGCGCAGGTGCGGTAAGTTGTGTGTTCCTGTCTGGCGGTCGCCCCTCCCTGAACTCCGATATTCTCATGTCAGGACCCAAATTTACCCCCTAAAACTCCTCCTGCCGTCTGATCCTCGGTCAGAGTACCCTCCCCAGGTCCACTTCTCCCCCCGGGCGCTCGGATTTTTCCCCCAGGGACGCTTACGGGTTGGCACCGTTGTTTTTTGTCGCGCTTGGTTGGCGTTGTTTACTGACCCGGCGGGACCTGAGCAAGCGATGCCCGACCGTCGGGATGCTGAGGAGAGAACGCTGAGGCAAGCGTTCCGACAGGCAAACCACGACCTGAACAGCGAGCCCGAGTCCGCAGCCTCCATACTACAGTCTGTCAAGGAACAGGAACTACAGTTCGAGCAGCTAACACGAGAACTAGAGGCGGAAAGACAGAGCGTCGCCAACCAACTCGAGCGCTGCAAGTTGGGATCAGAAACAGCCAGGTAAGGAATTATCCGATCTAAAAAAAAAGCGTACTTGTTTGACCATTCAGGCTGATAATTACAGGTTCCGATGTCTGTACGTGTACTTAGATGTGTCGGCAGACGTGAAAATGTCCGGTCCTGTTGGTAGATGCCCTTTGTTAGACAGGAAATTTGGTCATAGGTAAACAACGCTGCGTGGTTGTCGAGTACAGGCAACTAACACTCACAAACGGTCTTACATTACAAGCCGAGTATACAGTCACGTTTTTTGCTCCATCGATTTTTTTCTACCCCCCAAAAATGAAACTGAGGGACAAAACTACTAAAACCATACCCTGTAGTGCACCTGTACATAGATTTCATACCCTACTAATAGATTTTAAAGAGGTGGAAGTAAAGGTATTCAAAGGAATCTTACAACTTGCAAGGAACTACGCATAGACAAAGATAACGGGACAAAGAGCACTGAACTTCAGTGGCACAGAAAAGGTGAACATATGTTGGTGAGAACCACACACACACACACACACACACGTACACACTAAACTACAGGAAACTACAGTCTATAGGACTTTGGTGGAATTGTGGCAATCTATGTAAACAATTACTGTAGATAAGATTTGAATGAGAATGGTTGTGGTATCAATGACTAACTTCATAAAGCCAGGATCACTCCCAATACACCCGGCCAATTCATTATGTATGATGGCATACCGGACTCAATATAGCTATTATTAAAAATTAAGTGTCAATCACTAAGTATTCTGACATTTCTATACCTAGAACATGATTAAACATTTCACAAAAAGATTTCGAACTACAATTTAGTAGTTACAAATTATTCCCCTCCCAAAGTTGCAAGTCATAATTTGAATAACACAATTTCTAGTGTGAAAACTGATTACATGAGAAAAGGCTTTTGGTAAGTTATTGTTGTGTGTGATTTACAAGAAAAAGCTTTACCTAATCATTAAATAAAGTACGAGCAATGAAATTGTAATGTATGTAAGGAAGTGAAAGTTTATTAGCTGTAAGCTAATAAGTTATGAATTAGTGGCAGACTTCTGTATTTGCATTCACTTTCACTATTAGTCTAACTATATCTATTTCTGCATGCCACAATGAAAATTGAGTTTTGTAGAGTAATAATTTAATTCTTGAAGGTGTAAAGTTAGCTTGTAAATACAACAACACAATTTTAGCCACATAAAAATGCCAATAGTATATAAAAGTCAATACACCACATCAATACACACTATGCACACTACAATGAAAAAGGTTAATGTTGTCCTTCCAAATCGAATTGCCTCTAAGTCTTATACTATAGGCAGATAACTCAGAGATGACCAGTGGTGAGTCATAGTGAAAAACTCACTCATTTGAACATTCAACAAATAATTTCTGTTTGCTACAATTTATGGAAAAAAAAACAGCAAGCAAGTTGGTGCAACTGCCGTGTGACACACACATAATATGGCCAGACCTGACCCTAAAATTCATTCATAGCATTCTTCATAATAACATACAAAAACATAATAGATTACATCTCCGATTTTGTACATGTACATGGTTGTTTCTTATCATCACCTATCAGGCACAACTACATTGTGATGTGTGGACATGCTTGTCACAACAGATAATTTAGTTGAGTGTAATTATGGTTGTAAGGATGGTAATTAAGGTAGTAAGGCGACTGTGGTCTGACATCTCATTGAAACACCTGGACGAGGTAATTGATATGATGTAGTGGTTGCCTGGAGGCAGGTTTTAACCCTAAACATGCAGGCCTAGGGTTTATCTGTATCTGTAAGCTTGTATAACTGTGCTTAGTGGTAACATAGCAGCTTTATGTGAATGTTACACATGCAGGTTTGCAGGGCTGGAAATACCACCTGCATGTGTAGGTTAGTGCAGGTATTTCTGATGTACATTCACTGGTCCATGTACTGGGTATTTGTAGGTTAGTGCAGGTAAAATTGGAGCTGTGCAAGTATTTCTGATGTCTACCTGCATCGTAATCTGCAAGAGTTCATGTACTGGGTTTACATATGTTGGTCTATGGTTTCTGAACAGTTTCTAGTGTGGTCCTTACTCAGTACCGGTACTTCTTAAATTCTGAATCTGTGTAGGGCAGGTAAAATTTTAGCCTGGGTACCATCCAGATTTTCACTCCGAAAGGCTTGAAAAAACATTTTCATGTCTACCAATTTTTTTAGTGTTGCGGAGCGAAAATCCGAATGGTACCCAGGCCAGTAAAATTTGTCTGGCACAGGTAAATTTCAGTGTTACCTGCTGTCAGATGCAAGTTTATATTACATACCTTTACATACCAAGCTTTAAAATTTTATTTCTAAGCATTGACTTTAGAAAATAGGTTGCTGTGATCATGATAAGAATAAAACCTGTATCGATGCTGACTGTTTGCTGTTACCCTGGCTGGAGTAAGGCTACTTGCCAGTTGCTATTATCAACAGGGCTATTATCAGTAGAGTATAACCAGTTATGAGGTGTGGGGTTACCTACATGTAGTACTGTACTGTAGTGTAACGGTGAAGGTTAGTTCCTGAACACAGGGCTCGAAATTCATTTTTGGGAATAGGCGCACTGGTGCACCCAACCTAAAAAATTGGGTGCTCAAAAAAATGTTTGGGTGCACCATATACATGTAAGTAGAATGTCAGCAAAAACTAATAATGTTTCATTTCTGAATAAATGCACTATAATAATGATTTAATTATTTTATCAAGGACGTTCTAGTAATCTAGATTTTATTGACCCATAGATATTAAGAACATGCTGTAAACTACTATACATTTAACATCTTTACATACGTAAACCTATGGAGTTTTTTCGCCCTAAAAATAAAGGTGTATACTGTCTCAAAGAAGACAATCCATTCATTGTAAAGACTCAACTGTTTAATAAAAACACCTAAATACACAACTTGTCACAAGTAACAACTGTTGATTTGGGGTTAAATAAAGGTATGTTAATCCTCATACAAAGATTTACACTGATAAAAACAACATACGGTTGACTACATGCACAAGTTCTAGGTCTGAAGCTTTTAACTGCAGTACTAGTACCTGAAAAGTTTTGCTGCACAAGTGCTTAGAGTTACAGGTGCACCTAGATAGGGCCGACCTGGACCTGTGTAAGGGATATCTGTGGAGGTCGTGAGGTCAGGTCAAAGGTGACATGTCGGGAATATTTCTTGCCAGCCGGATGAAATGATTGGGATGTTCAGATGACAAGTCAGAAATTCCGAAAATTTGCCTCGAAGCTAAACATCGGGAGTTTGTCGGCCAGGCCTTGGATTGATGGAGGTTATTTTTGTTCTGATGCCATAGTGCAGCTATCAATTGTAGTCTGAAGGGTAAAGGGGTCCACTCGAAACGTTAGAAATTACAAAAATTTATGATAGTTGACGTAGCAATGTTGTACATCGCATGATATTCTTTTCTGACATTTAACAACTTAATTGTCCTGTAACTCATGCTTGGCAGGGGTGCTTGTGTTACGGTGTGAAATGTCACCTACAATCATGCATGAATGTAGTAATAGTAATATATAATATAGGTAAAGTAAAACTTGTCTTGCGTGCAGTTGTTCATGAGTTTGAATGTTGTAATATATTTACAGTATCTACCTGTACCAGGCAGTGTAGGTTTGTCTGGCCCTGCATATGATATATCATATGTAGGGCCAGACAAACCTACACTGGTGCAGGTAACATATGAATTGCAGTACTAGCTGGTAGTGGTAAGTGGTACTGTAACATGCCTGTATGTAGCACGTCGGCAGAACGTACTGCGCCTGCGCAGAACCCTGTATTTTCACGGTTTTCGGTGGATTTTTGGTCAACATTGCATCAAAATTTTGCCTGTTGCAGAAGATATCTTTTCCGACATAACATTTGGAAACTACAGACGGAGTGTTAACCTTATAATAATAATATGCGCGAATACAACCTTATATGAGACGTTCTACCGAAATGCTATGCACAATACATTACTAGTTTCACGCAGGTGCAGTACGTTCTACCGACGTGCTCCCGTATGTTCAGTTGACCCCCACTCCCATGCCCACCAGGTCCTGAAACTAACGGTCTGTTTGCCGTTCTGAATTGATCTGCATAGTTTGTCGAGTCATTGTTTCCCCTGCGGAGTTTGTCCACAGTCCAAAGTCAAACACAGGCGGTGAAACGACCAGACATGGCATGGCTGCTGCCTGATATGTTGGTTTAGGCCACTCAAAATCAGTTCCTTGGTTATCGGACATTTTTTTTGACAAATGTCAGCTACATACAGAAAACAGGGCTGGTCGGGAAACCAGACTACTATTTGTAATATAAATTCTCTTCTTGAAATTTTGCACCAAAATACCACACTTTACCTTCAATTTTTCAAAGTTGTATTGGTTTAGGCTACACCATTTTATTTCCTTCGTTCTCTGATTTTTTTTGTTGCAAATATCAGCTTGGTCAAAATAAAAACACAGGTCTGACTCTGAAAGGAAAACGTTTTTATGTTATACCAGAAACTGTGCACCAAAGTAGCATGATACTTTCCCTTCATCAAAGTTTTGTCTTCCAGTTTAGTATATCATTTTTCTAAACCCGAGAACCAGCAAAGTAAATTGGCATGTCCTTACTAGTGTTACTGTTAGGGCCCTGTCATTAGTAAACACCAGCTTAGCAAACAGACGCTAGTAATACTAACGGTGTGTAACTGACAGAGTGGACAGTTCAAGGTAAAGACTGAGTACTAGCACTAGTACTAGTAGAAGCCTCTACCAGCCTTGTTGCGTTGCATATTCAGGGTTGGAAATACATGTACCACCTGCATATGCGGGTTAGTGCAGGTAAAACTAAAAGTGAAGCTGTGCATTCTAGTATTTTTTATGTCTGCCTGCGCCTAATCTGTACTGGTATATGTATATGTCTATACGTGTTGGTCAGTTCATGTGGATTTTTATATGCTGCATTGACTGTTACCACCAGACCTATAAAATAAGTA